ATTATATGACCCACCGGACTCCGGGACGATGATCGGAGAAGTTGCTGATTGACAGGATTCGAGGACGTAAACTGGGTTACAGGTGAGGAATCATGCGCATACTGACCAGGAAGATGAGGCGGGGGCGACGGAGAGGATGAGACGGAGGAGCAGAGCGGAGAAGTGGCTGGAGGCGTCGCATATTGTGATTCCGACGAACCGGTCTGATCAAAATATATAGCCGACCCCTCGCTGGAGGATATGGATTGGCGAGTGACACTGCGACTGGTGGTGGTAGTGGTGGTGTTGGCGCCAGTGTTGGGGTGGCAGCCAGCGCTGGGATTTGGACAGTCCGGGACAGTCGAACGATCCTTGGTCTGGTCCGAGATCCATTTGCCCACATGGGCGCGGACGAGGCGCTGAATCTTCAGACGCTCATTCTCAGAAGTTGGACGCGCATTAACGAAGTGAATGGCGTCCCTTTTGCGTCCGGAGGTGGCACGTTTGGTGGAAGTCATTTCTCCGAGGTCAGGAGTACAGGTATCGACAGAGACCGCAGTTCAGAGCCGAAGCCAGGAACAGCATCCTGTAGCTCCAACTAGGCAAAGTGTACACGAATATCGATGGCAATTAATCCTTTGATAGTAGCGCCACAAGGCAAAAGTTTTGCAGGACAGATGGGGAGGACGAGATTAAAAGGAAGGTTGAATCGAGATCGAGACCGGAGACCGAGACCCAGACCCGAAGAGCAGGAAGGAAAAGTGTGGAGGGGAGGGGCGAATAATGACCACTGGTGATTGGCGAGGGTCTAGATCGGTAGCGGGAAAACGAATTCTGCAGGCGGTGTTGGATGTGGATATTGAGGAACTGACGGAAGGACTGAAAGTAAAGAGCGAAGGAGGGTGTCAAAACAAAAGATCTCAAGGAGGACGGAGGGGAGAGGGAGAAAGGAGGGGGGGTGGGAAGAGGAGAAGAGAAGGGTAAAAGGGAAGAGGAAGAGAAAGACGAGGAGGAGGAGGAGGAGGAGGAGGAGGAGGAGGTAAAGGGAATGGGCGTTGGAATTGAGCTGAGAGAGGGAAGCAAGAGGGAAGAGAGAAGAGAGAAACGGGTAAAAGGGAGGGAGCAGGACAGAAGCCGAAGAAGCCAAGCAGAAAGCGGCAGGTTCTCCCAGTGACGATCGCCCGATCTTCAGGTTCTGCTGTTCTTCTTCCTTCTCTTCTTAGTTTAAGAACAACCACAACCACAACTACAACCACTACCACTATTTCCAGCCTTTCTCAACTTTCTCAACTTTCTCAACTGATCCTGCCAATGTTAAGGTCTGCCACCAAACTCAAGGCCTAATGAACAGGCTTATCGGCACAAACCCACAATGTTGAACCCACTTAAAATGACAACAAGATCACAACAAGAACAAAGTTAAGAGAAAGAAAGAGACAGAGACAGAGAGTAGGAAAGAGAAAGAGAGAGCGAGAGAGAGAGAGAAAGAGAGAGAGAGAGAGAGCGCGAGAGGTGAGAAAAGATAATTGAGTCAAAACATCTCTCATGGTTACATCCTCGCATTACATTCAAACTCTTTCTCCTCAAATCTTCTTTTTTATAGTCCTCTCTCACTTGAAAGAATCAATTGTACCCTTCTCTCGCATTCTATCCCTGGTTCTTCAAATCGGTCTTCATCCCAGGGTCTGGACCCCGCGGAGCCACCGGTTGATGCGGGGGTAAAGAGAGAAAACAGTGTCAGTTCCGAGACTCGCGCCGCTCCGTTCGCTTCTTCTCGACCCTCGGTCTGTTGTCGAGGGGTCTGGGTTCAGATTGGAACCCGACAATCATTATCTAGTAACGAGCGTGGACTGACACTGCTACTGCGCCAATTGGTCCTCACTCGGACTGTCACAGACAAGTGATTGACTTCATCCCAATCAGCCAATAATGAGAGTAATGTGACGGGCAGCAAAAGGACAAGCCGACAAGTGATCCATGGTCGGGAAACGAGATGTCAACGTTACCAAGGCAGCTACATTGCGGTCTATCCGAGGAACCCATGTTCACATGCACATGTGTACGACAAGCCACAAGATCTACTCAGCCAGTTTTCGGTACATGCCAAGGAGCATGCAAGGATTCGTAGGTGCGTAAAGCAGAAGAAAATCGCCCATCCTGTGGTTCGCTCTACAACAGGAATAAGTACAACGAGGTCTTGAATGAAATCCAGCAATTCACAGATAGGCTCTCTAAAACATGAAACCAAACACCGGAAACTCAGTCCAGCTCGATCAAGGGGTATCGTCCGCCCTCGCCGGTCAAAGGATCCTGATACTGGTCCAGCGCCGCCTCAACCGCCGCCATATACCCAAGTACCTTCTCCTCCTGCCAGCGCCGACCGACTACCTGCACCGCCGTCGGCAATCCTGCCATCTTGGTAGCATCGTAGTGCTTCCAAGCCCCGCGAGAGAGTGCGCCGTCAGCTCCCAGCTGCTTGAGAACCTTCTTGTACGGTCCGGGTAGAGCATCCTTTTTCGCATCGACGTGCGACACAGGCATAACACCCGCCGTATAGTCCAATAGGTTCCAGAGGAAGGTGTATCCACAAGATGACACCGCATCGTGCATGGCTTTGTGTGGTAGAGCCGGGGTGGCGTTTACAGGGCACAAGATGAAATCGTACTGCTGTGTCGCGCCATCCCACCAGGCGTGCCAGGTGGCACGGAAGGATTCGCGCTGCGCGGTGAGCTTCCAGAGCTCGGCTGCCGATTTGGGGCCAAAGGTACGAATCAATTTAGCCCACTGGACGTCGCGGCGGATGTAGCGCACCCAGAGGTAGTAAAGGTACCGCAGAGGACGGGGCAAGTTAGAAATCCGGGTAAGTTGATCTGCGCCCGGGTCGGAGGGTTCGAAACTGTGCAGATGCGAGTTGAAGGTGACGCAACCATCAGAGTTCAGAAGCTGCGAGGCTAGATGAAGTCCTGTGAACGGGTCTGCCGTGACTGGTGGCTTAATCTCCGAAACTGTGTGGCCGGCCGCAACAAGAGCAGCGGTTGTCGTCGACAGGGCACGCGCAATGGCCGGGGTAGGGGGAATGACGCCTATGTGTGATTAGCCAGTGTCAGCCTGGTTGGTTCGGGTGGCTATGCCGATCCACTCACCATCGCTAGTCATCAATCCGATTCGAAGCTTCTTAGTCTGGGCCTCCTCCTCCTCCTTCTCCCGCCAATAGATGGGATGAACCGTGTAATCATACTTCCATGGCTCCATCCCCACAATAGCTTTTGTAAAGTAAGTCAGATCATTCAAGGTCCGAGCCATGGGACTGAAGACACTGGGAACGCCTTCTTGGCCGGCCATGCTGGTGTGAACGCCAACCTTCGGCCACCGCCCAGTACTGCAGCGCAGGGAATAAATACCACTCCAGGCCGCCGGGACTCGAACAGACCCGGCAACATCAGATCCGATACCGATGCGGCCGCCCAACGCCAACAAAGCACCTTCGCCCCCCGTGGAACCGCCAGGAGAGTAGTTGGGAACATGCGGGTTGAGGCACGGGCCCCAAAGAGCGTTGGCTGATTCAAAGGACAACAGGGTCACGGGCAACGCGGTCTTGGCGTAAGGCACAGCCCCTAGAGATATTAGCCACGGCGTGCTGCAGCAGCAGTTCCGTCGAGAGAAAGGCCATACCAGCGTCTTTCAAAAGCTTGGTCATCGGTCCATCTTCCTTGTATGGCTTGCACGCGTACTTGGTGTATCCCAGGGTGGTATCAAACCCTTTAATCTGCAGCGAATCCTTCAGAGAGACGGGAATTCCCGCCAATGGTCCTTGGAGGTTGACTTCCGACTGGACCCATGATTCAGCTTCAGGCAGAAGCAGCTCTGTCACGCAGTTGGTCTTCTCATGGGCCTTGACGGCTACTTTGCCGTAGGTGCGGAGAACATCGAGGGGTGATACGGATTCCGCGTGCACCTCATCCACCAGCTCTTGTATCGGTTTGTTGATGATAACCTTATCAATCGCTGTGAAAGGGGCGTGATATCCTGCCGGCAGTGATGCGAATCTTGCTGCTCGCTCCCTCCGCTTGAAATCCCTGCCGCGCGATTAGTATCCAAGCCAAGGCGCGGTGATTCACACATCAAGTAGTGTGTACTGTACTCATGACCTCGTGAAGAGGCATGACTGACTTACCGGAGGCGACGGTATGTGAAGTAATCGAATGGGGGAAGCATGATGAGACGAAGACTCTTTCCGTCACTAGAGTCTACGAGAAAGGAAGAGTGTACTTGCACAAGATGAGGAGAAAGAGTGAAAGCAAGGAGGATGGGAAAGGCGGCCTTTTATTATTGCGGGGAAGGACGGAGGAGATGCGGAGACATCGTAGCGATAAGCCCGCGCGCGGGTCCCGCTGATAAGCGTGGGGACCGCCCAAAGCTCGGATGCAGCTTGCGCTCGCGGCTGCCCATTGACTTGTCCATCCCAGGATATTTCTCGGATTGTATGCCTATGTATGACGCGAGCACCGCGATTCCGAGCTCAATTTTGACCGTCATCTTCAGCAAGCACATAACGCAGGGAGCAGAATCCCGATCATGAGTTGCTGATGGGACTACTGGCGAACCCGAGCTACGTAGTGGAAATGACCGATAAGATGCCGGCAGCCGGCGCATGGAATGCCACATTGGGAAAGTCCATGCGTGGACTCGACTTGAATAAAGACGCGGCTGGACTTTCCACTGCGATACAGTCTGAGCGTTCCCCTTTTTAAAGAATCACCAACAGGAGATCACACCACAAAGCGAAATCAGCAACTACATGTGAATGCAACATTCAACGTAACGACACTTATCACAACGACGGTTGTCAGCTATTTGGGGATATTGCAACAGGACCAGCCCCAGCCCGCCGCCACAAGGACGAGAGAATATGAGAACAAAACTGAAATGAGGCCCGCTCATTCATGCCTAGCTAGAAAGCACATATCCACAAGATACCTCTCTCCTCGACCCAGATCCTTAACCCTTTATCTGCCGCTACCTCAAGCTGATCTCGACGTCTCCCGTAGCCAGTGATGAGCATTGAGCCAAACGACCACCACGATCACGCCAACAACAAACAGCGCAATGAGGAAGAATATCAGAAAGCCGCAGAGGATGGTTCGTTTGCGTTTCCTTTCCTGGCCCTTGATCCAGTTATCCCTGTGAGAACCAGACGATCAGCATACGAGACAAGCAACAAGATTCTCGGCGAGAACTTAGAACAGGAACAGCGAGACAACATACGACCATATAGTGACTTCCTTTTCCGGGGTGGTAGCCTTGGATTCCTCATCCAGGTGGATGGCAAGGGAGAAGCGTCGCCAGAACGCTGGGTCCCGATTTTGAGCCATCTTTCGTTTATTGATCGGTAGACATGGGCTTGAAGCGTGATTCGAAAGGGTCGAACGCAAGTAAGGTCAAATGACAATCGAGAGGACGGGGCCGATGGTCGACCTATAGTGCACAATCAGCATGAGCTTCAGCAGCTACGAGGAAAGAACGTACCTGGTCACTGGCCCTTGGAAAGAGCTTCGAGCTGCTGGTCTACGCGAGCTCTGCAATCAAACACAACAGAAAAGAAGCAATAATCAAAGAATAGGAAAAGGAGAGGTGTTGTTCGGTCAAGTTGAGGCTCGTAGTTACAATGGGAGACAAACAGATGGGTCGTGTAGGAGTAGAATAGAGATCTGGGTATGAGAGGGATCGGAGCGAGACCAGGCGACTACATTGTTGTTTACTTAGGGGAGGGCATCCAAACAATGGGCCCCGTTACTCGGAATCCTATGGTTCCAGGCGGGAATGGCAAGAGGAATGCAATGAGCGTCCATTGCAGTGCTACCTCCTCCCAATTATTGTTTGGAGATTTCATTCTGACAATCGTCATGACCAATCAGGGAGTAGGAATGGGTCATAATACATGCAGGTATTTCCGGGCGGGGGGGGGGAAGAATGCCAGTGAGCAACTCTTCTGCACAACCTAAGAATAGAGTGATTAGCTATGTGAGTACACAATAGTTAGATACTACACATACATAGTAAAGTTACCTAGTAGGTAGCATGTATCTACTTACTTACTGTACAGTATTCTGTACAGTTATTATTTTTATTATTATTATTATCGTTATTGATTGACCCTTCTTGACCGAGTCAGCCCACTGATCTTCTGATCCAAGGGTCTCCGAGTGCCACAGGGGGCAAACTATGCATCTTGTTCGGGCGGATCATTTGCAGCCACTAACCTAGACGGAAGAACACGCGGTGATCTCGATGCCATCAAAGAGCATCCGTATGTACTCATACGTACAGTAGTTAGTCACCCTAGTAGTTAGCTAGCTATTAGCGAGTTAACTGACTGACTGACTGACCCCTGGCCCTGGTTCAGGCATGTGATGTAATTTATGCGCCTGTGAAATACCTGCGTCCTCCGTACCACCCCTAAAGTCTCGTGCATCTTGGTGGTCAGCTATAGTGAAGTGGGTATTACTCAAATTATTCCTGATGAACTCGTAGAATGATGGCAAGTTGACTTGATTGTGGAGGTAGGGGGAAAATGTATGCCTTAGGTGTCTATAGGAATAGAGGCCCCATGGTTGAGCAGCCGATCCCCGAATCATCAACCACTCACTCCTCGTCAGTACTTCCCCACTTCTTCTCTCCCATAAACTCTCCAGGCTCTCTCCCTCTCTCCTCTTTCTCATCCACCAAGCATGAAGAAGCACTCGAGGCAAAGTTTACGCAGAAAAAGACAAGACAAAAGCAAAAAAATGATTGATGACGCATGGTGATACAGCCGTGGAATGTCCGTCATTGTACGGAGTACTCCCCTCCCTATTCCCCCCCTTTCGCTGCTTGTCTGGTCGGTCACCTGCGGGGGGAATCATTCACCCACTCATCAAGTTTAGTAGTCTACTCAGGAGTAGTCCCTTCAACCAGGTGCGGTGGTAGGTATACTACTGTACGGTACGTACTCGGAGAATCTCGACTCGCTGGCTTGTGCTAGTTCTCCCCAACTGGGCTTCATGCAGCATCATGGATCTGGTTTGCATCGGCTCTCGTCCAGCGTCAAATCCCTCCGTTCTCCACCCTCATTCGATTCGTTCCGCGTTCTTTACAGATGAGGCGGATTGAGTTGTCGACTTCACACTCTTACAGTGCCAACAAACAACAGCATTGAACCATTTTCTCTCTTTTGGGCTCCCCCGCAGTGGAGCATCAGCGAATGGGTGCCTGACCGCCCGGGCGTTGCCTGTCATTTTGAATTGACTGACCGCGCACTAAACCGGATTCAATGCGCCAGGCGGATCGCAAGGTGCTGCTGGCCGGCCTGCAGCATCACTCATTCACTCCTTCACGCACTCACTCACCTTGTCGCTCAGTCTGCTGAACTTCCCTCTTCAGCCTTGCCCCTCCCGCTTGCTTTCCCCTCCGCATTCTTCTACCTCATCGGTCCCATCGATGCTCCGCTCATTGTTTCACTGCTGCTGCTGCTGCTGCCAGATGTCCTTCCCGTGCGCCCAATCCCAGTAGCTAGGCCATGTGTTCCGCCCATGATCCGGGCGCGAGTTTCTGGGGATTGTTGATCAACTCGGACAAGAGTCCAGCCCCGCTCCTTGAACAGCTCTGTTTGGAAATCGCTCATAAAATTGTAAGTCGGAGCTTGAGACACTGTATGCGACCGGAAAATCAAAGCTGAATCTTGGCTTCTCAATAGTCGTCATTCGACGATTACGCAACGGCTGATCTCACGCCCGAACGCCTGGCCTCTTTCTACCGCAAGGTTGGCGGAAATTACGATGTGCTCTTTCTCCAAACTAAGCCTTCTGCTCTGTCCTTTATCTACCAGCGTCTCGGCTGCTTCCACAGTATTCAACCCACAAACGATGCATACAAACCCCCCGCAATCCCCGCTCTACAACCCAACGGCTTCGTACGATGGCAAACAATCCAATTGCTCCTAGACCCGGACGAACATTGCCGATACCTCCAGAATGCGGTCGAGCTTTGGGATCTTGAAAACCCTAGCGGCGGCACATTTCCGAAGACGATTCCCCGCGAAGCCTTCCCCGAATCGCCAGACCCAGAAATGGTGGAGTGGCACGAGACAGTCAGCCGACGGTTTGAGATGGACTATGTGAAGAAGAACATTCTCCGTGCATCGCCTCCGAGTTTTGGTACCTACCACTCTCAATTCAGTAATCACCATAAGGACGAGGCTCCGTCCCCCAAGGAGAAAAGAACGTTTCCCAGTCGCCGCAAGACAACTGCGCAGCGTGCCCATGTCGCTCCGGAAGAACCAGCACCTTCGAGCCGTCATCAAAGGCGCCGCAGCGGGGAGGTTCCCACCTCATCCACGCGTCGAGTACAATCCACTTATTTCAGTCCACCGCCACCTCCCCCAGAATTCGCGTCGCCCTCACCTCGGGCGCCCTCGCCACCAATGTGGGCTAAGTCGTCTCCGAAGGCCCGAGGACGAGAACGCGGGCCCACCTTCTCACGCCCAGTCAGCCCAACTACTGTGCCGGGTCACAACCCCTCAGATGCCTCGTCAGAGGATTCAATAGCTGCAGCACAAGAAGCGGCCAACCGTTATAACAACCGTCATCTGCGTCCCTCGCATTCACACAGCTCCCATGCCCGTCGGCATTCACATGAAGCGTATGCACGGAAACCCCCGCGTGATCTCTCTCCTGAAGCGCAGCGACGGACCTATACCCACCGCGACACGTTGAACTCTCACTCAGGGCGACCATATGACTCCGATGGGGGTCGCAGAACCCGCCCGGCACGTGTATACGCCGAAGAGCCAATCATGCATCCCCGGACCCCGGGCCCTGTCTTCTACGAGACTGCCTTCAACGACCCTCCCGTCATGCCGATCAACCAAGAACTACCTCGATATTCCCATCATTCTCATGCACATCCACCACCACCACCTCGTTATATGAACATGAACGGTACTCACCCGTACGTCGGACGTGCCCACCCTGACAGTGACATGCGCGTCCCTGTCGACGAGACTCGTCGAAGTTACCGAGCGTCCAATGCAAATTCAGGATACCCTAACCCCGGTGTCTCCGACCACACTGCGCGTTATTCTGGGAGAGATGATGGAGGCGCATACCGATCACCGAGATGGGCCAACCCTGTTTCACCGCCCACGAGGGGCATTCCAGTGGGTATGCCAGACATGGACTACCCTGTTCGATCGAGACGGTCTATGTATGATCGATGAAAGGTTGTTCGGGACTTGGACACTATCTCCCACTTCGCGAGGGCTGTTGTTTCTCTGACTGTATAGTTCTGAGAAGTAGCCTTGATCCTCGCCACAATCAACCACGGTTATATTCGGAATCTACTAACATTACCCCCTCTCCTCCAGTCCAACCTTTATCTTGCACGATGAGCATTGTCGGGCATAGCAATATCGATATTGACATTCGCATTGGCGTATGGCAAAGAGTCATAAAGGTTCATTTTCGGTTCTGGGTAATAGAGCATTTGGGCTTGTCTGCTTTTCTTCACGTGGGCGCTTGGTAATCTTTTGATATTACATATCCCCTCGTTTCCTCTCTCTTCCCGCGTTGAGCTGGAGAGACCCACCACTTCTATGATGTCACGACGTTACGACAGTATAAGCTTATGAAATCTGCAAGAGTAGAAAGGGCCCCGGGCGCTGTTAGGTTTGTTATACTCTATCAATCTGTTATGTATATTAGCAGAGTAGAAAACAGTAGTACATTTTGTTGTACGTGGAATATGGTTATGACGATGTGCGGTGCTTTCTGTCCCCGAGGAATGTCAAGAATATTTAATAATAAATAATGTGTAGTGGCTCCGGCAGACGGGAGGTATCTGAGGATTGTCGATGCCTACCCACCGGCAAAGGCCTGTAAGGGCGATTAGACCCCGCGTCGCATCTAAGAGCTGCCAGGCTATGAGTAAACAAACTTGTAGGGTATAGGCCTAGCTGCGTATCCTGACTGGTTAGGCGTCAAAAGTAGTAGCTCTAAACCAGCAAGATCTCCACCTAGTATGTAGTAGTAGTAAGGTAGCCCTTGTACGAGGTCCGGATCTTAATTCCCGGGTTGGAGATAGGCCAGAGACACCGACTAGTAAACTGTGGCATTAATCCCTAACAAGGTAACTAGCCCGATCTTATCATGGTAAAAGACCATAGATAATTCTGTTTGTTTGTAAAGTATAAGGTAGGACTCTAGATTCTCGGGAGGTAAGGGCTTATTTACTCATAAGGTTGCGGTAAAAGGGTAGGTAGCTGGTATATCGAGAGATTTTCAGAAGAGATCAGTACTATAAAATCTGGGTAATTGTGTAGAGAGTTTCATCAAGTATAGGTGCAGTTTTAGGCTTGATATTTAGATACTAGAAGACAGGCCCGGATTAGCTCTGTCGATAGACATGGCAGTTGTATAGTTGTGTATAGCCTTTGTTATAATCAAGTAAGATGAGGAAGGACGGAGCACCGGACCTGCGGCCGAATTGCTGTTCGGTAGGGTAGTTTGCTGTGCGAATGAACAAATTGATCTATTGATCGATCGCACTGGTAAAGTGAGGATTGTATCTCCTGCTGCATTAGAAACTCGTCGCTATTTCCCTAGAATTTGCTAGTCTATTCGCTGTGACCAGGGTAGTGTACTGTGGATGGGCTATACATCGTCATTCATCGGCACATTAAGTAAACTAACACTGACTAGACTAAGCCAAATAAACATCAAATCATCTTATCTACATCTATCATCGGCATTAACAACCCCACTCAAACATCCATCGCTGCTCAACTCTCCGTATGATCTACCATGAGGCCAATATATATGCAGTAAGCTCCAAACAAAATCAAAGCTAAATGGTCAACTCCGCCTTCTGGAAGGTGAACCCCTGCTGTTCGAAAACCCTACACTTGGCCGTCCGCCCCGGGTTCACCGTGACGCTCGGGACCACGCCTAGCGACGCGACGACCCGATCCTCGTTGCCGCGGTACTCGGGCATGCGGTAGCCGCGGGCCCCGAAGATCTCATACGAGTAGCGGTAGGCGGGGCCGCGGAGCTGCAGGGCCTCGACATCGGGGTTCGGGTTGCGGGTGCGGAAGAACGAGGCGAAGATGTCGTTCAGGAGCTGCGAGTGCTGGATGTCCGTGGGGCCGTAGTAGGGGGCGACGTTTTGGGTCTTGCTGTTCAGCGTGCCCCAGACTAGGAGGACGTCCGAGGAGTGGCAGGTAGCGTTCTTGTCTTGGTTTGGGGAACAGATGGCGGGCGTGCCGACGGTGGTTTGGATGTGGCCTTGTGGGATGGAGAATTGGTAGAGGTGCGGGAATTGTTTTTTGGGGAGGGTGGTGTTGGCGGTGGTGGCGTTGGTGGTTGTGTTGGCGGTGGCCAGGTTCAACAGGTAGGATTGCGGGCAGGTCCATTCGCTGTGGGTAAGGGCATCGGCGGCGACATTACGGACGCTGTCGGTGGCGTTGGGGTTCGTGGGGAAGGCATCGGAGGCGATCAGGGCTTTCGCCAGCGACGAAGGGTAGGCGAGACTGAAGATCTCCGTCAGGGCCACTTCGGAAGATCCCATGCTCTGGGTGACTTCGGCGTCGACGTAGAGGGCCGCCTCGTCGGCCACGGTGGTGAAAATGACGGGGACACGGTTGGGGAGGCGGTCCTCGGCGAGAAGGGTGTGGAATTGATCGTCGATGACGCCGCTGCCGGTGTCGTCGACGATTGGGAGGATGGGCTCGATGGATGCGAGGAGGTCGCTGGAGTGTAGCCAGCCGGTGGCAAGGGCTTTAGCGCTCGCGGCTGTGGCGGCCTCAAACTCCGTGCTATTGTCAAGGTACCTGCTCGCTGGAACAGATCGGAGGCAAGAGAGTAGAGCGCTCTCAGATGTGGTCCCATTGCAGCCTACGGCACTGGAGATGAGAGGGGTAACGATGTCGGTGTAGACTCCGCGCGTGAACCAAGGCAGATCAACAGGGGCGGATTGGACGATGGCGCCGCTGAAAAGGCCCTGGGCTGCGGACGAAGAAAGCAAGGCAATCGCACTCTGGCCACCGGCAGACTGGCCAAAGATAGTGACTTGGTCAGGATCTCCACCGAATGCCTTGATGTGCTGCTTGACCCATTTCAGGGCCAAGATCTGATCCCGGATTCCATAGTTGCCGGTCGTTGAGTTGCCGATAGTGAGCCAGCCTAGGGCGCCGACGCGGTAGTTGAGCGTGACAACGACAATGTCGTTGCGGCTGGCGAAGTTGCCTCCGTCGTAGTCCACCATCGCTGAGGTCCCCTCGGTGAACGCACCTCCATAGAGGTAGACTGCAACAGGCTTGCGCTGAGAGTGCTTAGTTGTCTTCGCAGGGAGGATAGGGGTGTAGACGTTCAGGTAGAGACAGTCCTCGGATATGCCGCCATTATCCAAGGTGCCAAAGCCTGACACGGATTGGATGCAGGAGTTGGCCATCTTCGTTGCATCGATATTACGGGGCCCGGAGTATGGGCGCGGTGGTGCAAAGCGCAGATCTTCCACTGGAGCATCAGCGAAAGGGATACCCAAAAAGCGAAACGACCGTCCGTCACGGTAGCCAGTCATGCGATACCCATCGGATTCAATGGAGACTTTAGATGAGTTCACAGCTGTTCTATCCTGGTCCGTCGTAGGGGGAACACTGGATGTGCAAAGAGCGGGCAACTTAGAGCCACAGGACACCGATACAAGCTTCTTATGCTCGAGGGAGAAGGCGCGGCAATCGTCGTGAGTAACCTGAGAAACCCATAATCTTTCATCGGACTGGACGTCCTGCACATGAACGAGATAGTCAAGCTGGTATGCTAGCTCTGTGCCATTGACCTGTGAGATCTCCTGCGCTTGGTAAAGTCTTTCTCCAATCGATTGGCACCGGGCTTCTGCTTCGAATCTCGAGAGACGATCATGGACAAGAACTGCGGCTGTACCGTTATTCTGAGGGCCTAAGTCGTTATACTTCAAGGCCTGGAGAGTGCCCAAAGCGTCAATGTTGGGAACATGACTCTTGCCAGTCGTTAGTGGAGCTGGCACTGCAAGAGCTTGACGACCCAGTAGCAGGGTTCCCGCAAGAATTTGAAGTTGCATCTTGAGGATATCCGGATACAACCACTGAATGTAGACCTGCAAGGAAAATCCAGGGCGCCAGCTATCTTTTTATAGTGCTAGACCGCAGGGTTTGGCCAGGACATTGGGCTCTTGCATGTTTTTCTCTCATTTTCTCGGAGCAATCGGAACGGCAATAGCAGACAACAGTGGGTTCAGAGTTGAAGCGAAGCTGGACTGCAGCATAGACACTAGGTGAGAGAGACCTAGAAGCGAAATCCGGGGTACCTTGGATTGAGAAGTCACACAATGCGGATTGGCCGGATCTACCCAGCAGCAGGATGTGGCGGAACCGGCTAACGCAGACCGTAGACGTTGGCGTTGTCATGGAATATTCTTTTGCTAGGCCAATGGTTCTATCTAGCCGAGGGGAACAACCTGAATGGTTCTTTCGGCAAAGTAAACTGGGGAGCGGATCCTTGGCGAGCGGAGTCCCCTCCGAGGGACTGGCGACATCCGGCAACCGACAAGCAAGTGCATGTACTTGTGTAGACCACCGAGCAACTGTTGGGATTGTGGGGATTAGTATACCTCAACACCGAGCACCCTAACGGCTAGATCACCTTGGCTCGAAGGCTCATGGCGCCACATCTCAAGGTTCTCCAGATTCGGATTAGATCGAGACAGGAAGCCCGGCACTATGCCTGGAATGCTATTTGGGATCTTGGGTGTGATAACCGATTGGTGACGGTATTGATGTCGGTCATTCAGCTCTTCATACCCTGGGATCGATCATAATTCTCTCTTGTCGCGGAGCTGATTGAGGAGATGCTAATCGCTGTTGCTCGCGCGAGCAACGTCTCGATTGAGCGTGCAGAGTGTATGCAGCAGTTTTCAGAGCGGTCCTCTCTGAAGTTGGCTTTTTTAGCCATCTAGGAAGAAAAGTGCAGCTGTAGCTGGAACTTTGGAGGGGCCAATTACCGTGTCAAGAGAAGTGTAACTCAAGGCATGACTATTGCGGCCCGCAAGCAGGCCAAATAACGTCGGGGCTGAGCCGTGGTACTGCATCACCAAATCTCAGTCGATTACAGAAGGGGGTGGATTATCCGAGGGAAGGAAGCAGAAAGTCTAAGCCATGCATGGTAGATAGGTACCAGTGATGAACGTCTCGTGCTATGGCTTGGCTGGGCAAAGCGCAGTTGGAAAGAGGCAATTCGAACTTGGAACCTTGAACTTGGAAGGAGGTTGAGCCTTAACCGAATTGTGCCATGTACCTGACCTTCAAACAAACAAACAAACAAACATAACAATTGCAACAAATGTCTCCGCGAGTACACAGCCCACAAGTATGAATATGGATAGCATATGCTAAGAGTCCAAAATGCTTTCAGATCACTGCAACTCACTTACGGAAACGCTCCACCTCTCGCTGACCCAAAATCTGCTCCTCAGGAAACCAGTTACCATGCATCCCATACGGTACACGCTGCGGCAAGAGTACACGAGCCACAACTTCTTTCATATCCAAGGCATCAATAATCCACAGCTCGCTCTGAGAAGTCTCGGGTGCTACGCCGTTTTCATCGAGCTGCGATTCATCGTACACGTAGGTGACGAGCCACCCATCGTCCTCGGACTGACCGTCTTTGCGAGCAACAAACGAGCACTCTTGCGCATACCATCCATCAGGCAAAGCAAAGACTCTGATGGGATCATTTGGATCATCAGAGGTGAGAACCTCGGCGACAGATCTTTTGTCCACACAACCATCCACCTGCGACGGAGGATCGGCGAGGCCTCGCGCAAGCAGAGCCGCCACATCAATTTTCACTAGGCATTCAACCTTGAAGTTGCTGATACAAGCTTCCGCAAAGTCTCCACTGCGCATCGAATTCCCATAAACGAAGCGAGTCGGTGCCATCTGGAGGTGATGCGGCACGTGTGGAAACTCAAAAGGAATCGCAGATAATGCCCACTGATGAGTTATCTGCTTTGGACTCCCCTTGTTTGGAGGAAACTGATAATAGTATAGGCGGCATTCTGGGTTTGCTGGAATGGTTATGTTTGGAGCTTCCAAGCCGCCCATATGGTAAAGCGGAGCGGCACTGTTCATCCGGCACAAAAGCAGATGAACCCGCGTTCCATTGAAGGTCTCTTCATCCCAGGTGTTGACAGTGTGCATGATCATGCAGGGTGCTGTGGTGTACCATTCTACCTTTTCGGGCTCGTACCGTGGGAACACCCCAAAGCGTGTCTGGCCACGCCAGTTGTACTCGACTACTGGCCGGTTACGACGAAGATTGAACGGATCCAACGACACGGGCATATCCATCATGACGGTGTGTTTGCGCGATACGCCAAAGTCATGCATGATCTTGCCTCCCTGGAATCCTGGTACTGGCTTGCTGAGACATAGTGTCTGGTTGAAGGAGCTCTTGGCTGGTATGATCGAGTAAGTGACAAACGGGGCTAGGAAAGTCGCATGGAAGAGGAACATCTCTTGTGTCTGAGGGTCAACGTGGGGCTAACAGGGCGAGTCAAGTGAGCATATTTCTGATCCCATTATAAGAAATGGCTACCTACATGAGCCGTTGTCATCTCTTTGAAGAACCCTTCCACTCCTGGTCCGCCAAAGTATGGACGAGGTTTCTCATCCGTAGGCTCTCCTTCCGCTCTACTACCAGTGAACCAACCGACAGTCTTTAGCGACGGCAGAAAAACACGCATAGGAGGGCCCGTCTCGTTTGTCGCCAATACTCGACCATCATGATGCACAACACTCGTGTTGGCTGTGCTGGTCCGCCGGATGGGCCGAGCGATGAGACCCCAGAGCGAGGCAACGATTAGAGTCATTGCTCGTACAACCTCCATTAGCACGCGGAACACCGACGATCTTGGACTGATCAGAGTAGCCACGCTAGGGGTGACATGATGGAGCCGGGGATGTCGTGCAACAGCGTCATGTACATCAGTGCGGACGTATTGATTGACAAAGGTAGGGCGGACACCGGGGGCCTGCGCGATGCGCTCGAAGAACACGCCGGTGAGCATTCCATCACCATCGAACCAATGGAAGCCTCGGCTGGTATCAACCTGGAGGGGGTTGCTTCCGTTGCGCACATACTGTCCTCCGAGAAACTCCTCGGGAATTGCGCCTTCAGACGGACAGGGACGGAGATTCAGGGTAGTGTGAATAGGGGCATAGTTCCCGGCATGGTAACTTCAATCTTGTCAGCTCATTATGCATCAATGCTTCGAAGAGCAGGGTGAGACGCGAACGTACGGATGTCTTTTTGCCATTGTGTCTGTGGGAGCGACATTGTATGCTTCAACTGAAAGACGGTGAAGAGGGCCATGATATACCCCTCCAACATATTCTGACCAGCCGGATCATCCGAGTCCTGCTCACGACCACGATCGAGCAAGTCATAGTGGCAATACGAGAGGTATGAGGACTTGGCACACAAGGCTCATTTCAGCCCCGCAGGATACCTGGAGAATTGGGTCAAAATCTTGTTTCATACAAGATTTTATAGCATGACAGCTCTGCAATTCGACGGGAAACAACGCCGATCGGCTGAACTCAATCGAGCCAAGCCACTCTCCCATGTGAATTGATAGGCAGCGTGGGATACTGGCGTCGTTTCTTGATTCGTAACTTTCATGATCGGATATCTTCTTGGAAAGTCGAACTTCCCCGTTTGAAGGTATAGTACACGGTGTGGATGAGCCTAGGAAGAAGTGTTTAGTAGAACCACGAGAAGATGGATCAAGAACACTCGCCATCAACAATTTATTTGTGGTGTCTCTCTCTGTGATCAAGGACCGAAGACATGCCCATTGCTGTCGTCACCTGTGCCTCGGGAGAACCTTGTGTTCTCCTGCGTTAGAAGATTTCAACGTCTGGAACTAGGTATCAGAAGCTCGCGATGTCGTTGTACGTGGGGGAAAAAGTGTGAGCAAGAACTAATAGTACAGAGAATGACACTACAGGTCGATTAGTTGGGAATGCCTCTCACTGTTTGGGCAAAAGCATCTGACGTCAAGACCACAAGCCAGGCTATTTCCATATTTGGCTGTTTTAAAGTGTGCCACATGACTTGAGGCATCTGCCTTGTTTACATTTACACTATTGATAGCTTGAGCCTACCTGCTCTCATACCATATAAACCACAGAGTCTGAAATATGTACTTGAATTCCTCATATGTATCGTAAAGCATCGCTCATTGACATCCACAAGTATGTACAAGTCTTGCTAATTAGAGGCCCCGTGCATACTATTTTCAGAAGCGGGGAAGATTAAGCAACGTAAGCGACCTGACTTCTGACAGGCACATTCTGATCCGTATCAGTCGAGGGGAAGCCCTGAACATTGACGCCCTTCCGGAAAAGGAGGCAATGCGTTGAGCCACCGAAGTGGAACATGCCGAGTTCGTCACCCTTGTTGACGTGCTGGCCCTCCTTAACAGTGATGTCACAGGTCGAGACCTCGCACATGCCCACACCCAGGAAGGCCATAAGGCCGATATCCGGGTTGTCGCACTCGATGAACATGATGGCGCGGGTGGCAGTGGCTGTCAAGAAGCCCTGCGAAGTGACCTCACCGCAGGCATCAATCCCGTGCTTGTGCTTCTCGGTGGGATTCGGGTCGCCAATGCCCTCGAACAAGGGCTCAGAGTAGTATGTGCCGTCCACGACGTAGGCCTTGACGATCTTGCCGGAGACGGGGCTGTGCCAGCGGTGGTAGCTCAGTGCGCTAAGGAAGGCCTGGTAGACGGTGCCACCGTTGAACTGCTCCGCCAGGGGGTCGAAGGCAAGCATGTCGTTGATCGAGTAAGGCTGGTGCTTGATCCAGAAGGTGTCGCGGGCTTTCACATTGTACGCGACCTTATAAGGCTTGGACTCGCAGGCATTGGCGATAATCTTGTCGTCATCAGGACCAGCAACCGGGCGAATCCCCTCCCGGAAAAGGCGCGTGAAGAAATCGTCCCAGGATTTGTAGCCGTGGTGAGGAGCGGAGGGGTCGCAAATGAACATCTCTTCAAATGTGTGGTCGGTCTTGCCGCCCAGGTTAGCCACCTCGACCAAATCGGACTTCCCCGTCTCGCCGAACCAGCCGTTCGCGGAGTCATCGAGGACGGATGCAGACTCGGGGGATCTGAGGAAGTCACCCCAGGCGTTGAGGACTTTCTTCAGCATTCGGTTGACGTCGGGGTCGAGGAAGGCGGCGAAACCGGAGGGGGTGCCCATAGGCCAGTCTAGGACAGCATTGATGGGCAGTCCGACAAGACCCACGCGGTGAGAGAAGTCGTTCCATGAGGGGGCGGTGGTGACGAGATGGTTGAGAACTTCCAGCATGTGCTTGTAATCGCGTAGCTGTGGGCAGCCGGTCGGGTCCGTCGCGTAGGTCCGGTTGCGCGGGATTTCGCCGAACATGGCGGCCATGAGTAAGTAGACCCTCGTGTTGGACTCGATAAGTTCTTGGAATTCTTTTAGGACTGGGTGAAGCTCGTCAGGCTTGTTGCGGTCGACGTGGGCGATAACGCCCCCGACCCATTCGTGATGCTCGTCCAGGGTGGAGGGCATCCATTTTCCGACACTAAGACATAGGGGCTTAGAAGGTGGACTGGAGCATTTGTGGTCATGAAGATATGGGCTTACCGGTGTAGTCGGGGAGTGTGGTGCTTCTTCTGGTGGGTTTGATGGGGAGACATGATGGGCGGCTGGCTGGTCTTGGCGGAATGTATGAGGAATCTGGGGAAGAAGCTTGGCTAATGCTGGGCAGGAACGAGCTCGGTTTATACCACAGTCTGCCGTAGACAATGGCCTGACGTGAGGTGAACTTGCATCATGATGATGCTGTAAAGACAGGGGATGGGCACAAGAAGTGGATCATGTTTGCGACGCAGCAGTAGGCACTGGGCTGAATCTAAAATGGTGGAGAGAACGAGTGATGTCATGGAAGTCATCTTCCGATGATCGCCGGTCCTTGCACCCAACCACAATCCTATGCTGGATTTCTAGACCTCGCTTAACAGTCTGGTCTATCTTTCTTGCTTTATTTAGATGCTAGGAGATGCGCTAGTCTTGGTCAGAGGTATGTTGTCGTTGCAAGGAAATTCAATTGCAGGGAGGTTGAAGAGGACTCTAATGTACTGTTCGTAATATCCCGGGCGTGGTCACGGGACTATTTAGATGCTCCTGCTCATCATGGATCTAGCGTTCTATAACTTATTCTTGGTTCTGTCTGAGCTGCCTACCCACTTCTATCACCTATAGTCGTGCCACCTTATCCAAGTTCATCGTCTCCAACTCCATTTGTCCCATCGCCCACCTCATAATAAGTTGCACAACGGCGCCGATTTGCTCCTCAGTGTTATCAGCATGTATCATGAGTCGCACGCGGTCCATGTTCCTCGGCACAATCGGAAAATCGACTGCGTTGACCCAGAATTTAGCCTGCTGTAGGGGCTTCGCCAGGCTGCGCGCCTTGCCCGGCTGTGTTAGCAGTGCGAAGATAGCAGACCTGAATGTCCTAGAGCGCCAGCCTGTCTCGGTTGGAAGTCGAATGATGCCTCTGTCCTTAGCTTCCTCCCATTGTGGGTGGTTTGTCAAGGTCCAGTAGGTAAACTTGATGTTGTGCTGCAGTCGCGCTCGACGCTGTGATCGTGGTAAGCTTCTCTCGTTCCATATATCGATCTGGCTCTTAACCAACTCTGTCACCGTCCTTACTTGCCAGCAGCTCATATGCAGCCCTTATAGCTGCAACTGTCACAAAGCTAGGGGCTGTTGTGAAAAGGACATTGCCGGGATAATTCAGCAAGGTTTGCTTGATCGTGTTGTTGCATAAAACGACACCTTCAGATAATTAGCCGACGCGTTGCAGATGAAGCTAGGACTCTTACCTCCTGATGCCCCGAGGGCTTTACCACAAGTCTGGACCCTGATAGTGAACTCTTTTTCCAAGCCATATTGAGCAATCAAGCCTGATCCATTAGGCCCAACGAGTCCGTTGGAATGCGCTTCGTCGATAACAAGCACATAATTGCCCAGGGGAAGTGATTCAGATGCTATTTGAATGATCTCATGGATGGGAGCCTCGTCTCCATCCATGCTGTAGACTGATTCAAAGCAGATAAACACCACTTGCTTGCCCTCTGCGATGCCGTGGCTCCGCTCTCGAGCGTTCTCGAGACAATTTCGGATGGAGGCACAGTCGTTGTGCACAAATGGCACTGCCTTAGCGCGCCCATTCTTCATCCCCTGACGGGCACAGGCATGCATAAGTTCATCGAAGATGACGATGTCCCCAGGCTGCGAGATCACAGACCAAATGGCCACATTTGCGTCAAACCCTGAGCCGAATACCATTGCATTCTCAGCCTTGTAGAATGTAGCCAGGTCACGCTCAATATCTTCAAGATACTGCCTGGTACCTTCGAAGATGCGGGTGCTGCTGCTCCCGACTGTGAAATCTGGTTGTTCCTCAAGCTGGTGCAAAAAGGCTCGACTCAAAGCGCCAGAACCTGACAAGGATAGGGTATCGTTGGATCCGAAGTCGATGGTGCCTTGCACTTCGCTTGGGGAAGCTGGTTGAATCAGCCTCCCCTCACGCTGGCGCTGGTCCAAGGCCAGTCGGAGTTTGCGATCAAGAATTTCGGGTCCCAGAGCCATAGTGTGGAGAGTTCCTAAGGATCCAGATTGATGTTTGCGAGTGTCAATCTGCTTGTCTGCCTGCTTTCGTTGAACCTATATACTTGTGGTGTTATGCCACTACTTAGCCCGCCTTCGAAGCATGCTATCTTATTCCAAACCCACCTGTCCACATCGCAGAATCTGCCAAGCTCCATCGATTGATATCCGGATCTCTCATTCAAAATCCGGTATTATACTTGCGAATTCCCTGTTGACAGGTCCAGCATCTCATGTGATGAATCAATGAAGTATCTCTTTTCAATGTCAGCCTTTGTATTCGCGCTGGTACATCCTGCTATTGTCAACATATCATCGAGAAGCATACCTAATGTCATTCCGATTCATCCGTAAGGGGGACAATACCATAGAATCCACCTCAGCCATGGTTCTTCCCGATCTAATTGTCAGCCAAGCCGCGTGGCTTACATCTAGCGAACATGCCAACTATTTCCGACAGCTTATCACCAAGCATTGCGATACTACGATAGTCTATTGCGCAGATGTGGGTGTCATTTAAATTGATAGCGCTCTGACCGTTTCATTCAATTAAATGGAAGACGTCATGAAGCAGATTCACACACTGACATTGACTGGCCACACACAG